GTTATTCAAGTAATTCTATAAGGAAAATACTTGTGGAAACACGATAACCCAAGTAGCGCAGCCCTGGTCGAAGTCTAGGTGGTTAATTGGGTTACTCATCGGTGTAATTTTCATACGCACAATCCAGTCCTTCAAAATGCTAATCATGGTTAAGTTAGTGCACGACCAAAGTTCCAGTGACTGAGAGAACACTAGTTTCCTTATGATTGCAGATGCTAATCAGTGTCGACAAACACAAAACCTAGGTCCAGAGCCTCCTACCAACTGGCTCTCACTATCGATTATTATTATTTTATTTATCTCCTGGGTTCCTGGTGGAACATAGCACATCAGTAGCTCGTCACCATTCCACTCTGTTCTCCGCAATCTTTTCAAACTGGCTCCACGACTATCGAGAAGCTATCATTTGTTCCTCACACGATCTCCTCCATGTCGTCCTCGGACACCCAACTCGCCGTTTCCCATCTGAGTTCCACTCGATGGCCTGGCCTGGACTGTGATGTCCCCAGTCGGGCTTCTCACTGCATGCCCAATCCATCTCCACTTTCTTCTACTGCATATCTTTTGACCGATAGGTTCCTACTTCGTTGGTTAATTGCCAGCCACGCCAAAGTTCCTTGTTGCTTATTCTTATTATTCTAGCCATCTGATCTCCATCTTCAGTATCTATTTGGCGTAGGCAGTTGTGGATGAATGTCTGTAGTTTGTTGGGAGTACCTTTCGCAACGCGCCAAGTTTCTGCATCATATAGAAGCACTGACTTGACTGAAATCAGTGTTGAAAATCCGTATATTGTTGACGCTTGATGCTGAGTGGAGTGCAGAAGATCTCCACACTGATCTCAGGTTAATGAACGCCTGTCTTGCTTTTCAAATTCTGACTTTGACGTCCACGTCTGTGCCACCTGTAGTTGAACCAGTGCTGTCTAGATAGGTGAAGCAGGCTACTTCCTCTAAGTTTCTCCCGTTCATGGTGATTGGAGCTTGTTATTGTTCCTGTTGTTGATGGTGGAGTTGGTTCGGTATCTTCATCACCTCTGTCTTCTCTATATTCACTTGAATTCCCATTTTCGCTACCTCACCTCTTCTGTCAACTTGGTACTTTTCGCCTGTACATCTTCAACGCTGTGCCACAAGATATCAGACACAAGTCATCGGCTAAATCCGAATCTTCTAGGATCTTTTACTCGGTCCAGCCAGATTACCCCCATCTTATCGCTCCTCACGGCTTGTTGCATGATCCAGTCCAACACAACACAATCAGGAATATCATGGGTGATAGTAGACACCCTTGTCTTACTCCTGTCCTCTGTCTTCACTTCAAAACATCCAGTTGACTGCTATTCTATGCTCTCTTCTATGATGATGTGAAGAGCTGCAATTTGGTCAGCACATGATTTGTACTTCCTGAATCCATCCAGCCTGTTCCGGTAGCAGTTTTGAATCCAGTGCATCTCTTAGTCTCTCCAGTATGATGTGGCTCAATATTTTGCTTGCATTGGGTGGACAGGAGAGTGAATCCCAGCCAGTTCTTGCAAACACTGAGGTCTCCCTTCTTTGGCAGTTTGACAAGGTAACCCTTCCTCCAATCACCAGGTACTTTCCCTTCTTTCCACACCTTCTGCAATAGTGGTGTGGTGTGAGCATATCCGCTGTTGTCTCTACGTCTGCTCTCACTGCTTCTGGTGGGATTCCATCTGGTCCTGCTGCTTTCCCACATTTCAGTAGCTTTATGGCACTCAGGACTTCGATTTTCGTTGGAGGGCTTGTGTTTATTGATAGTTCTGTGACTGGGCTGCTGGTGATATTTCTGGACGAGTTGTAGGTGGTGGTCGATTCAAGAGCTTTTCGAAGTGGTCAGCCCATCGTTTCCTTTGTTTCTCTCCTTTCGTAGTTAAATTTCTGTCATCATCTCTCATTGTGTGTTGATCTGTGTTGATCTCTTCCCAGATGGTAACTTGGTTATTTGATACAATGTTGTCAGGTCTCTGTGTCTGCTACCTGCAGCCTGTTCTGCTTCACTTGCCAGTGTGTTGTGGAAGTATCTTTTGTCTTTGCGTGTAATCTGCTTCACTTCTTTGTCCAGTGTTTCATAGGTTGTATTCAGTTCCTCTTTTCATTGAGCATCCTTGCACTGGTTCATCTTCTGCTCCACCATCTTCCTCTCCCTGCTCTATCGGCTTCCATATGTCCGCCGAGGTCCATTCCTTATCTTCTTTCCTCTCCCTTCCTAATACGGTTATGCAGGTTTCTTTCCATGTGGCTTTCAAAGAGTTCTAGTGTTCATGCACACAGTTTTCTTCAGGGATGTTGCTGAACGCCGTCTCTTATTTTGTCCTGATGACTGACGTGATGACAATGCAGAACATTTATCAACCGGTACAGAGTTCAACAATCAACTTCTAATATGTGATATTTATGCCAGCCACCACAGTATTCATAAAGTAATCGATGATATGATTAAGATAATCTGTATATTAGTAGATCGATTATTTTCTACAAATAGACAATGGTTTTCAATAAATCTTATTATAGACTGAAATAATCAGGCAAAAATATGAAGACGATACTACAATCCCTATTTTAGGTTATATGGATACACTTTTGTTTACTTTAATGTCACACCATTGGTATGACATATGTCGACTTGAACTAATGCACTTCTGTGTAATAGACTCAATGCTGATTTTGTTCATCTGTTGACACGGTTTTGCAGAAAGTGTAAATCTGAGAATCACTCAAGACAGTCAAAAAATAGGTTAATAGTATCATTTGTACAATAGCTCATTCAAGCTGCTTATATGCTAAAGATTTCATTTAATTAATTAACCATATAACATAATTTCCGTTAAGCTGCACACTCCTCAGTAGTGCGCACCCTTGACCCTGCCTCTCCAGCGACCGAACCCAGGCTCTTCAGGTTTCGGGGACTGCGCGTTACCCAATGATCCATATTTCCTGCTTCTGTCAGTTCACGAAATAGCGCGACCTCCATACAATGGCATCATTGATTAACCGTTCTTCTTTTTGACTAGGTTAGCTTCACTGGTCACGACTTCTCATTGGGACTTTGGTAATCACCTCCAGAAGCTAGTCACCAATCAGCAGGTTGGCGTTCATCATAGACTGAAGGTCCTGGACTCATCCTCTGGTGGGGTAATGGATGCACACCATTGAAGAGTCCCATACTAGGACGAATGATTCTCCAGCTGATGTCATTCTATGATGAATATCAATCTGAACCTTAAAAATTGCCTGACTTGACTGTCAAGAATCCACCATTACGCCATGGTGTAGATTTTTACTAAGTGACTGAGACTTCATCTGTTTCTTTCTTCGACTAACTAGTAACCGAGTCATTCAAAGACCTGATAATTTCTCATAGCGACTTCCAATTTTAGTGTCGGTAAGTATTTATATCACCTAGGATACATCGCGTCAGTAATCCAATATTTGATTCCATAGACGTCAGTTGTTCTTGCTATCAAAGTCAAGTGTTCACATCTCAGTGCTGATCACGTATGCAAACTTATCGAAAAGGTTATATGAAAAAGATACTGTAACGAATTAGATCCACCATATATCTAACCCATATATCGACCCATTTCATGTCGTCTAGTCCTGAGTGTTGGCCACATTCTGTGGATTGCTTTGCAATATAATCACCGAGATAGGAGCCTTAGCATCATGATGCACATTGATGAATGTTAGTTGGTTGGAGGCAACCAGCAGGAGCCCTGGGTTCAGGTTTCGTGCCGACTGCCTTCAACCAGCTGACAATATTCTATACTATACATCGCGATGAGAAACCTCCTTGCTTGGTCTGCACATTGCAAAATGACAGACAAAATCCGGTCGGAACTCAGGAGTAAACAACATGAAATTGGTTGCTCTCCACTGACTAATCAATGTATTTAATCCAGTCCTACAGGAGGTTAATTGAGGTCGGAATAGCTGAGTTGTAACATCGTTGACTACACTCCTTACTGAAATTATAATATCTGATCACTGTGTAGTGCATTGCAGAGAGACATTTTGACTGGTCACTGGAGGACAGCAAAATTCATGTTGTCTGATCCTAAGTGCTGATCGATTTCTATCGACCAGTTTTGCAGTGTAGCCACCACTGTGGTGTACTTTGATGGATATCAGTCGGTTGGAGACGATTGACAAGAAGATGTGGACTTAGGTTCTTTTAACCTGAATTCTTTGATAGTCAATATTGTTTTATATTGCTGTGGGATTGATATACGGTTATCAGGTTGTCTTTCATTTGGATTCAGGCTACCGTATTTGCAGACGACATTTTGGCTTAAGTGAAAACGCTGAAAAAACCCAAGATCTTCCGAAGGCCTTGAGCACAAATCTTAGTGTGTTTGACATTCATTTTCCATCTGTCAGATGTAAGATATTGATTGAGGATCAGTTTGCATATACTGTCAACTTAAAGAAGGAAGTAATCGAATGTGTTCTCTTTTCATACACTTTTTTCTAATCCAACATTAGTATTTCACTATCAGCTTGTTCTTTGTATGCTGTTGTAAAGTGTGATAGCTTGAACAATGCACTTCTATAAGTCTAGAAGTGTTACATTCGCAGACTACCTTGTTGGACTTCAAGGAGTAAATAGAAGTGTAAACCTCACTGGGGAATAGTAGGCTCTACTATTCTCCATAAGCTTAGTAAAGTAGATATTAGAACCTGTGGTTATCGGCTGTTGATTTACTGAAACCAACTTCTTCAGTCACTAAATTGCCGATAATACCTGTTCATCAGCGGTGGATAGCGTTTAGTCGTGAATTCAATCAACCGTAATTATCACCTTTTCAGTCTTACGATTGTATTGGTACAGATATTCGTGTATGCACATTTTGCAGTTTAGAAGTATTGATTGAACCATAAGTTTTTAGTTAAATACGTCAAAACTTGATGTAAATTGTCCTCTAAACACTAATTTTATCTAATCTGCCGTTATTCCCTTATCTCTATACCATTTTTAAGACTTTCAAATCTATTTACATTGCCTAACGGGAGTGATATTTATACACATCTGATCACAAAATATGGCAAAATTGAAATCTCAAATCTGCTGGATGAAACAGATCTTACACAAGATCAAATCAAAGAAATGGCGCATCCTATTTCATCTACTCTGAAAAGGTAAGATTTTCAATGTAAAGTAGCCTGATTCATTTCTTTAGGATGAATATAGTACCAATGTATAATGATTATCTCTTTTTTCACCATGAAAGACATATAAACTATAGGTTCTTACCATCTGTATGTCCACTGTCTCAATTGACTGATGATGTGATGATGAAAATCTTCGAATATCGGGAAACTAATAACTCTGTATCAGTCGTATTGATTTTCGTGAATAGAAATGGAATATAGGACGGTCGTTTCGTCCTCTTTGGGACTCATCGGATATCAAGCAATTCAACTCAATATGAAATTATAAGTACCAAATAGTTTTCATCGGTCGATTCAGGCTCACTTCTCATTAAATATAAATAGCCCTTATTTGTTCAACAATGTGAAACTGAGTTATAACTTAGTTTTAGATGCTGGGAGTTCATCGACAGGTTTCGTCGTTTTTGGCATTCCTCAGCAAGGTACATTTGTAGCCCTGACAAAACTATTGTTCATTTTGCCATTCAAAGCTCCATTGCTTAGTACAGGAGTCAGAGACTTTTGACACACAATGATATGATTTTTAGTAAGTTCATATTTCAAGCTTTCAGCTAACTATGATCTACCTAAATAATTAACAAGTTGAAAAATATCAGTGTAGAATGAATGAATAGTGTTACGTTTGATGACTGTGTACCCAAATGGCTAGACACAGGAGCATGTCACACAATTAAACCTAATTCTGTGTCAGCTTTTGTAACTGTGCATTGCTGCCTAGGTTAAGAGTATCATCCAGCCTAACTACATTTTATTGCAATTATTCTATCCTGTATGACCAGTGTATTCAGCCTCTCACCGTTTATTACTACTCCATGCACTACAGAAAGGCAACTGCAGTAAAACCAATTTAGTAAGGAAGAAAAACACAAAAAATAACTAGTATTTCAAGGTCAATGTCAAAAGTAATAAGGAGTCAGAATGAGAATGACAATCATTCAGCTTCTCCTTATTTATTTCATCGTGGATCTTAAGTGCTACAAACAGGCATCACATTAGTGATCTACCATTTTTAATTTCATAAAGACAATAGGAAAATATATACTTCATGTGAATTTCGCTAGAAAATAACATCCTTAGTTCGTCACTAATAGTTATATCAGTTCAAGTTGTGCAACTCTATAGCAGCATGCAAAGCAGTGAATCATAAACGACTGTCATTATGACTGACAGAAGTGTATACGAGGTAAGAGAATAAATTGATGAAGGTTACTGAAAATGTTCAAGACTTCGATGATAAAAAACACTTTACATATCTACAATATTATGACCAATTTTCAATCATGACACCAAGGATGTTCAATCTTGAAGACAGCAATCAGGCAGACTGTACCATCTTACACATCTACCAACGGTCAAAGACTTCATAGAGTTGTTTTACTACTTGGTTTGACCACCTTCACCCTTATTTCAACACAACATGTGTAACACATGTCCAAGAGGCTACATAATTCGTTGGAGGTTCACAATATTATTGACTAACTTGACTTCTTTAACCAGTACACTATCCCCAACCTTGACACCACTCCCATAGTGATTTCTCCTATCCCAAGATAGACATTCTTCTACAATAAACCGTCACCAAAGGCATTAAGTTTCAGCTCCAATAATTTGAAAACTTCTAAATACTCTAAAGCTTTAGGTAGTAAACTTAATTTTTTGTCGCTTTGTGTGAATCTTTTTCAGTTCAAAAGGCTTGTTTGATCTTTAAAGCTGTATATACTCATTAGAACTGCACACCAGAATAATGAGTTATCTCCTAAACTCAATATTTCTCAAGATACTGAATGATAGTGAACCTATATCATGACTTGTAAACATCAACAACTTAATTTTGAAAAATACAGTGCCTTAAATAACGTTGATCCCCAGTTGTGATTAACCGATCACTGTTTAGTGTTAGGTGGAGAAGAAGAAATAACCATCAAGTTTTTTCTGAAACTTTGAACTACAAAGAAAACAGAACTTGGTTGATATTTACATTTTATTAGAAAGTGACTTCATATTCACCTTCATATGATGTTTAGAATTTCTTGGCTATGGGACAAAAAGACTACACCGTAATAAAGATTTTCAATCATCGGTAACTTGGATCTAATTACTTACTGATTTGAGTTTTCTACTGTTTAATAGCAGTATATCACAGAGTCTGTCCCTGAATGCTTCTATTTTCCTAAGGGCATCAAACTTTAGTCGTGAGAAAGTAAGGCATAAGAGTTGCAGAGAATACTGTACTTTCTTCATCCGTCTGCAGTAGCTCATAACTCACATCAGCTTGACAGTTGGTAAGCGTTGCTATCCTAGTCAACAAAAGCTCAAGTTAATACTTTTTCACTGATTGCTGAAACAGAGTTCTGAGTGCAGATTACACTTTGTCGACCAATTTGTAATGTGGTCACTAAGATAAGAGACTCACCATCATGGTGCACTTTAACCGATGTTAGATGACTGGAAGTAATCGGTAAGACTACTTGAACCTACGTTTCATGTTTATTATCCATCGTCAGGAAGGTATACCTTCACGTCATCTTTGAGACAATAAGAGACGATAACGCTGGGTTATTCAGGCAGCTAGTGAGCTCCTGTAGGACTAGATCTGGTACAATCGTTGGCCAATAAGACCAACAGTGGGCCCAAAAAGTAATAAATCATGAAACATGATTGGTTATCCTCTCTAGTATGAAGGTTCACTGAAAACCTTTCACTATAGGAGTAGAATATTCATCCAGCATTAAATTTCCTCAGTGTATTAAGATTTAGATTCATTTAGGATTAGTAAGTAAGTAAGTTCACGTAAACAAGAAGCTTTGAAAGTTGTTGTTTGAGTTGATCGTGAAGGAAGATCCTGTTAACAATCTATTGTTGTTAGTCACAATAAACTGGCTTAACTTAATGACGATTTTACATTGAAGGCTAACGATATCTGTTACAATAGATTATCAAAATACAAATAAGATTTCTGTTCAATAATCTTGAGCAAGAGAAGTGAAAATGTTTCTCAAGCTGATAGAAAAACCATCTACAAATATTATAGTTATGCTCTAATTTCTGTCAGATTCATTGTTCCAATGTTCAATGTCCAATGTCTCAATAGTCATTGATATTATTGATCACCAAATTAATCACAAACTAAAAATTAATAGAGCTCATTAAGAAATTTAACCAAAACAGAAAAGTTATACACATTCATGCATAGAAAAATAATTATGAAACGAGTGAAGTAAAGTTTTCGACAGAAAATTAAAGCAGTGAATGTAGAATATGGATGAAAATTCGACTTAACTAAAACAATCAGTTATATGTCTTAAGTTTATTTAATTAGAAATTATGGTCTAAAATTAGCGCATTATTTGTTGGTTTGCCTTATTTCTCTTCCTCATTCCCGTCCTCTTTACTCATATATACTCACATATAAACTCTGTCGAATAGGTGAATAGAAAAGACGATAGGATGAAGGAGATTTACTAGGCAACAAAAATTCTTAAAAAAACAACAAAAAACAAAGTTTTTTAATTTACAAATTTGATTCTTCTTACTTTTTATTATAACACATGAATAGAAGTGAAATGTGAAGATAAATTTCATTTTCTTTGTAGCCTTCTTTGAACATTAAAAACATAAGACATTAAATTTAGTGACAATTTAATGTTTCGAGGGTAATGTAGTCATGCATAACGTCCCATGTTGATATATATTTCCTGAAAATAGTATAAAATTAGTTATTATTATTATTTGTCTCTAGGGTTCCTACTAGAACATACGGCGTCAGTAGCATGTCACCATTTCACTCTCTTATCTGCAGTCTTTTCAATATGACTCCACGACTCATCATAAACTTGCATTTACTTCCCACACAATCTCCAATATGTCACCCTCAGCTGCAACACCCAACTCGTCGTTTCCCATTTGACTGCCACTCAATGACATTCTCTGACACGTGACATCCCCAAATAGCCCTCCTACTCTATGCCCAAATCAATCGATCTCCACCTCCTGCTCCTGCATATTTGTTGGGTGATGGCTTATGTGTCGGTTGGTTCGTTACCAGCCAGTCAGAGTTCCTCCTGCTTAATCTTTCTGACCATCTCATCTCCATCTTCAGTGTCAGTATGGAGTGAGCATAGGTGGCATCTGTTCATGTGATGTGTATTTGCAGTTGATTGGAAATGCTTTTCGTAACACACCAGGTCTCCCAACCATCATAGAGAAGCACTGACTCACTTGACTGAATTAGTGTTGAGAATCCGGATGTTGTTCAGGCTTTATGCTGAGTGTAGTGCAGTGCAGTGCAGTGCGGTGCAGTAGATCTCCACATTGATTATTTCAGATTGATGAAGGAAGACTTGTCTTTCGGATCCTGACTGCTTTGACATCCTGACCTGTGCCTGTGCCACCAGTAGTTGATAAGATGCTGCTTAGGTAGGTAGGTGTAGGTGAAAAAGACAATTTGGTTTAGATTCCTTCGGTTGATGGTGACTGGTGCTTGTTATTATTATTGTTGTTGGTTGGGTGTCCTCATTAGGTGTAATATGGATATTTTCTGGTTGGGTTGAACTTAGTCCAAATTTTCCTTTCAGTAGAGGTAGTTTCCCTAGCCTTTACACTTTCTGATGAAAACCAATAAATACTTAACTACAAAGAAGACATATTTCTTGCTTTAAATGGTCTGTTTATAGTGTCGAGGTAAGACGCTTCCCGATAGATGTTAGTTCCCTTGGAATACAGTATACACATTTCGTCCTATTTTGAACTCATAAGTTCAATACACCTGCATTCCAGTGGGTGATGATATTCACACTGAGATACAAATTCATCACCCAAAACTTTAAACATCAAAACATTATCCACAGGGTTACTGAGTCTTGAGAAGCGATTCTTATACAACAAGCATGATTTGTTACTTATCGACCTGTATAATTTCTGGTTGATTATAATAGTAGATCAAACTGATCGGTCACTCTTGACATTTA